GCAACGGGGGGGGGGGGGGGGGGGGGGGGGCGGCTCTGTGGCCGCGGTGTCGGCGCGGCTCCTGTCGCGATTTGTCGCGATTTGTCGCCATCTGTCGCGCCGGGCTCGCGGCTCCTGGCCCGCCCATGGAGGCCGCGCCGCGGTTGATGCCCGGGGTGGCCATGCCGGGGTCTCTTCCGCCAGCGCCTCCCTCCTCTGCTGCCGGCAGCGGGGAGCCGCCACCCTCAGGGCCACCCTCAGGGCCACCAGCGGGGCCACCCCAGCACGACACCGGCGATGTCCTGCAGCAGATCATGGCCATCACCGACCAGAGCTTGGATGAGGCCCAGGCCAGGTACGGGGAGGGGAAAGCGGTGATGGGGACCGGGGAGAGCGGGAACGCCGTGACTCAGCGTGGGGACACCGAGGGGACACTGAGGGGAAACTGAGGGGAAACCGGGGGACAATGAGGGGACATTGAAGGGACAGTGAGGGAACATTGAGGGGACACCGAGGGGACACCGGGGGGACACTGAGGGGAAACTGGGGGGACACTGAAGGAACACTGAGGGGACACTGAGGGGACACTGAGGAGAAACCGGGGGGAGATTGAGGGGACACTGTGGGGACACTGAGGGGACACTGAGGGGAAACCGGGGGGAGATTGAGGGGGAACCGGGGGGAAGATTGAGGGGACACTGAGGGGACACTGAGGGGAAACCGGGGGGACACTGAGGGGACACTGAGGGGACACTGAGGGAACACTGTGGGGACACTGAGGGGAAACCGGGGGGACACTGAGGGGACATTGAGGGGACACTGAGGGGGAACCAGGGGGACACTGAGGGGACACTGAGGGGACACTGAGGGGACACTGAGGGGGAACCGGGGGGACACTGAGGGGACATTGAGGGGACACTGAGGGGACACTGAGGGGGAACCAGGGGGACACTGAGGGGACATTGAGGGGACACTGAGGGGGAACCGGGGGGACACTGAGGGGACATTGAGGGGACACTGAGGCCATTTCCAGCCCATTTTCCTTCCAGAAAAAACGAGATTAAACCCCAAAAAAACCTCCAAAATTCCCATTTCCCCCTGGGTTTTCCCATTTTTTCCAGGATTTTTCCTCACTCACCTGTTCTTCCCGCGACGTGACCCCGTTCTGGAGTTTTTTCCATGGATTTTGGGGCTGATTTTTCCATGTTTTCTGCAGGAAGCACGCCCTGAACTGCCACAGGATGAAGCCGGCCCTTTTCAGCGTCCTCTGTGAAATCAAGGAAAAAACAGGTCTGGATTTCTCCTTTTTATTCCAGTTTTTCCCTCAAATCCCACTTTTTCTCCTCAATTTCCCTCACATTCCACTTCATCCCAATTCTCCCTCACGGATTCTCCAATAAAAGTTACGTTTCTTTCATTTTTTTAGGCTAAAACTTGAATTTTTCGGGTGCTTTTTTAAGGGAGAAAAAGGAAATTTTGGGGTTGTTTTTACGGGAAAATTCCAAGATTTGGGAGTTTTATATTTTTTTTTTTAGGAAATTCCCTCCAGAAGCTGGAAAAATTCAGATTATTTTTCTTTGCTTTTCCTGGAAGGGATTAACTAAAAATCGTGATTAATTAATTTATTCGCTATTTATTTATTTCTAAATTTTAAATTTTATTTTTTACGCTTCTTTTTAATTTCTATTTCATTTCAAAAAACACATTTTCTTTTCAAACCCTTTCTCCTCATCCCTCCCTCTTCCCCCTCCCAACACCCACAGCCACCAAAACGACGAAAACCCCGAATTTTCTTCCCATAAACACCAAATCCTCCGGGTTTTTTTTGCATTTTTTCCCCCGTTTTTCCTGATTTTCCCTGTTTTTCCCTCATTTTCCCAGCTCTGAGCGTGCGTAACCTCCCCGAGGAGGAACCCCCTGACGCTCAGCTGATGCGCCTGGACAACATGCTGCTGGCCGAGGGCGTGGCGGGGCCGGAACGAGCCGGGAAAAACCGGGAAAAAGCGGGAAAAGGCGCGGAAAATTCCGGAAAAGAGCCCGGAAAAACGGGAGAAACGCCCGGAAAAATGGGGATGGGGGGTTGTCCCCACGAGCACGGCATCGAGCACTCGGATTATCGCGCCAAGCTGGCGCAGATCCGGCAGATTTTCCACTCGGAGCTGGAGAAGTACGATCAGGTGATTGGGTTTTTTTTTTTGGGATTTTTGGGATTTTTGGGGGGTTTGGGGGGGGTGAGGGTTGGAAAAAGGGGGAAAAGGGGGTTTGGGGTTGGTGGGGGTGAAAGGAGGGGGTTAAGGGGGAATTAAAGGGAAAATTAAAGGGAAAATCTGTGGGAATTAAAGGCAAAATGAAAGGGAAAATCTGTGAGAATTAAAGGAAAAATTAAAGGGAAAATCCGTGGGAATGAAAGGAAAAATGAAAGGGAAAATCCGTGGGAATTAAAGGCAAAATGAAAGGGAAAATCTGTGAGAATTAAAGGAAAAATTAAAGGGAAAATCCGTGGGAATGAAAGGAAAAATGAAAGGGAAAATCCGTGGGAATTAAAGGCAAAATGAAAGGGAAAATCTGTGAGAATTAAAGGAAAAATTAAAGGGAAAATCCGTGGGAATGAAAGGAAAAATGAAAGGGAAAATCCGTGGGAATTAAAGGCAAAATGAAAGGGAAAATCTGTGAGAATTAAAGGAAAAATTAAAGGGAAAATCCGTGGGAATGAAAGGAAAAATGAAAGGGAAAATCCGTGGGAATTAAAGGCAAAATGAAAGGGAAAATCTGTGAGAATTAAAGGAAAAATTAAAGGGAAAATCCGTGGGAATGAAAGGAAAAATGAAAGGGAAAATCCGTGGGAATTAAAGGCAAAATGAAAGGGAAAATCTGTGAGAATTAAAGGAAAAATTAAAGGGAAAATCCGTGGGAATGAAAGGAAAAATGAAAGGGAAAATCCGTGGGAATTAAAGGCAAAATGAAAGGGAAAATCTGTGAGAATTAAAGGAAAAATTAAAGGGAAAATCTGTGAGAATTAAAGGGAAAATTAAAGGGAAAATCCGTGGGAATTAAAGGGAAAAATGAAAGGGAAAATCCGTGAGAATTAAAGGAAAAAAATTCTTAAAAAATCAAAGAAAATTCTCAAAAAATGAAAGAAAAGTCTTCAAAAATCAAAGGAAATTAAAGCAAAATTAACAAAAACCACCAAAGGCAATGAAATCCAATCAAATTCTCAGTCTAAAATCCCATTTTCGGTGCCGTTTTGTAACGACAACCCCATTAATTTATTTTTTTTTAATTTTTTTTTTTTATTTTTTAACCATTCCCTCTTCCCTTTCCCAACTTTTTCCCCCCCCTTAAAATCCCGGGAATGTGGATGAGGGCAGGCTTGCAGCGAGTTCACCACGCACGTGCTGAACCTGCTGCGGGAGCAGAGCCGCACGCGGCCGATCGCCGCCACCGAGATCGAGCGCATGGTCAGCGTCATCCACGGCAAGTTCGGCTCCATCCAGGTGCAGCTCAAGCAGAGCACCTGCGAGGCCGTCATGATCCTCAGGTCCAGGTTCCTCGACGCCAGGTGGGACAGAAATCCCAAAAAACACCGGGGTTGGGTGCAAAAACACGGGTTTTTGGTGGAAAATCTGAATTTTTAGTGAAAAAAATCTGAATTTTTGGCGGAAAAATATGGGTATTGGGTGGGAAGATGTCTGTGTTTGGTGGAAAAATCTGAATTTTTGGTGGAAAAATCTGAATTTTTGGTGGGAAAATCTGAATTTTTGGTGGGAAAATCTGAATTTTCGGTGGGAAAATGTGAATATTTGGTGGAGAAATCTCAATATCTGCTGGGAAAACAAATTCTTCTGGTTGGAATATTGGTTTTGGTGGAAAAACGTGGATATTTTTGGTTGGAATGTGGGTTTTGCTAGAGAAATCTGGCTATTTGATGGAAAACATGGATATTTGGGTTTTTTTGGGTTGGAATGTGGGTTTTGGTGGTAAAACCTGGATATTTTTGGGTGGGCGTCATCCACGGCAAGTTCGGCTCCATCCAGGTGCAGCTCAAGCAGAGCACCTGCGAGGCCGTCATGATCCTCAGGTCCAGGTTCCTCGACGCCAGGTGGGACAGAAATCCCAAAAAAACCCAGTGTTGGGTGGGAAAATGTCGATTTTTGGTGAAAAATCTGAATTTCCGGTGGAAAAATATGGGTATTGGGTGGGAAAATGTCAATATTTGGAGGAAAAATCTCCATGTTTGGTGGAAAAATCTGAATTTTTGGGGGAAAAATCTGAATTTTCGGTGGGAAAATGTCAATATTCAGTGGGAAAATGTCAATATTTGGTGGAAAAATCTGAGTATTTGGTGGGAAAATGTCAATATCTGCGGGGAAAACAAATTTTTCTGGTTGGAATATGGGTTTTGGTGGAAAAACGTGGATATTTTCGGTTGGAACGTGGGTTTTGGTGGAAAAATCTGGGTATTTTTGGTTGGTGTAGTATTAACTTATTGA